GCATTTATGTAGATCGGGGGCGCATTCCCTTCAGAAACAATGTAATCCACTGCGAGTTCAGCGGCTCAGATGTCGGGAGTAAATGACGATTGCTATGTTCATTATTACATCCAACAACAGAACACCTCAATCGCTTAGGAGTCATTCTTGTCTACATCTGCTCCAGAGGTGAAACAATGGCAGACTGATGACAGCTCGCTCAGGGCGGGTCTAAGGTAAGACACCAGTCCAGTCTGTGCTGAAATGCTACTGTCAATTAAACTATCGTGGGAGGGGCCTGTTTTTGTGACATCACACAGACAGGCATCTGAGATCGGCTCGATTTGAGAAAGGGGAAAACATTTAACCAGATTAAAAAAACACTGGGTGGATTTTTATCATTATAGGGTGGTTGTGTACACACACTGCCAACACGCATATCAGTTCAAACAACTTGTAAAAGTGCATGCAGCATCCTATGACCCCTTTAAGGCTTAAGGGGCTTGCCATCTTGCTGATGTTCAATACAAGGCTTTTGAAGAACATTTATTTGTTCACCTCACAATCATTTATAGGTGTACTAAATTGCAAATCACATTCAGCTACATTTCTGGCCATATGAATAATAACTGCACCATATTGTTATTTTTGCTCATTTTGGGGCACTGAATAAAATTGAGCTGTTTTTTCCCCCTCCACATTCTCACTATATCACTACATGGGCCATAGAAGCCTGGTGTATCAAATATATGTCAAAACAAAAAATAAATTTGTCTTTGTCTTATATTATTTCAAGCTTTACATGGCTAATAACAAAATTAATATTTTATGACAAAAATAACCATAAATAAACATAGTAATTTTGAAGAATAGAAGTCTTTTTATAGCGTGCGCAAGCCTCTTTTCCTCAGGATGCAGGCGGTGTTGATAAACTGAACTGGTTGATGGAAGAGTCACTCAGAGCGTGCATGCTCCTGTGTGCGTGTTAGAAAGAATGCAAGATCGATTTGAAGTGTTTTTTGGCTGAATGCATTTTGCAACGACATCACACGACACCTCAGGTGCAAAATCTGTGGAAATTTAGAAAAATTGAAAGCTCCTCTGAATTATGTGGAGTTGGTTGATTTTGTGTTAAATCACATCAATCACAGAATCGCAAAATCCTGGAAGGACTGTTTAAGCATGGTGTGATGTTGGTAACTGCCATGTTTCATAAGGGTTTGATAAATGCCAGCTTGAAATGTATTTGGATCATTTCCTGAAGAAAGGCAACCCATCTTTAAGTAGCTTAGTGACTAGTATCAAGCATACATGTTGCTGGTTATGATGCTTTACATGTCTAAATGTATTGATGTATGTTGCTTCGTGCCATTAAAATAGGATTAACTTGTATTGTTCTCTTTTTGCTTTAGACCTGAAAGACAAAAGTGAAGAACTAAATGAAGTGGAAGACAAAGATCAGTATGAGAAACATGATTTTACTGGAGAAAGTTTGTTTAGTTGCTCACAAACTAAACAGAATTCACAAAAGAGAGCTCAAAAGACAGGACATTTCATCTGCCAACAATGTGGAAAGAGTTTCACTAAAAAAGAAACCCTTAAAGTTCACATGAGAATTCACACCGGAGAGAAGCCTTACACCTGCCAGCAGTGTGGAAAAAGTTTCATTAAAAGTGGAACACTTCAAAGGCACGTTAGAATTCACACTGGAGAGAAACCTTACACCTGCCAACAGTGTGGAAAGAGTTTTACTGAAAGAGGAAACTGTAATGTTCACATGAGAATTCACACCGGAGAGAAGCCTTACACCTGCAAACTGTGTGGAAATAGTTTCAATCGAAAAGGAAGCCTCGATAGCCACATGAGAATTCATACTGGAGAGAAATCTTACACCTTACACCTGTTTGTTTGGGTTTAATTTGGGAACGCATATGAAGTCTGATGCGCTTTGTGTTGCACTGTTATCATTTACAAGCATGAAGCACATCTCCATCTCAGCAGCTCCGTCGACACACTCTTCCTCTGCATATGCTGTGAGTTTGGGTTGCTGAATGTTCATCTGGGGAAACGGATGAACTCACTAGATTTGTAATGTAAATCATTTACAAATCTATGCCAACACAGGAGAATACATAAACATTTCTAAATATGTGATTTGTTGTACATTGCGACTTCAAAATTTTCAAAATTCAAAAAGTTGCTCCGAGTTTGCTTGTCCAAATATTAAAATTAAATGATTTAAACGCCATTGAATCACACTGTAAAATGAAACATCACCAGGCCGTTGGCGCCCTCTGCAGGTATTTGTTATAATACATAATGTACTTAAGTTGGTTATATTCATATTGTATATAGGCTTATTACATTATGTATTTTAACAGTGTTGTTCAATAAAGCCATGTAATTACTTGGATTTGATACTTTATTTGAACCGATAATGATTGCCTTATCGTTAGTTTATATATAAAGATAGTCATATTAATGCCTGTTTTTCACTTAGGTCTATTTTTAATACTAAAAATGATCAGATTACTCAATTGTCAAAATAATCAGTAGATTACTTGATT